CTACCACAAGATGAACTTAGTGCTGGCAGATTATTGTGGCAGAAGAACAACAGCTGGAAAAATAGGATAAATACACAAACCCATAACTCTGCTAATTTAGGGCATTTCCATACTGTTCCAATTTTTCATCCCCAATCCTCAAAAGCAGATTCTGCCAACTTTGCAAGACTGAGGCAGAATGAACAGTCACTGCCCTCAAACAAAATACTCTGGACTGTCTTTCCACACAAAATGATAAAATGAAGTTTATGCAATTCTCCTCAGGTTGGCTACATTCATCTTGTAAAATAGTCTTGAGTGGATATTCTGAGGTGCCCAGCTATCAAGTCACCTTTCTCTTCAAAAGAACTGCAAAGGCTGTTCAAGCTCAACTGTTGAGTGGAGGTTTGAGGCTGTACAGAAGCTTTAATCGAGCTGCAGCATTTTAAAGAAAACATTAGGTTTACAGCAGTTTCAAACACACTTTAGCTGAGTCAATTTGGCTTAGTTCTCAAGCCCAGCCAAGATTATAGTACCAGAGATGTTCAGGATTGCTTTCAAACTGGAACAATATTCTTGTCAGGAAGTTTCTTTAGCCTATCTGATTTAGTTATTTATTTATATGATTTATAGGGCGGCCCATCTTGCCCTAATAACTCTGGGCTGCCAACAAAGTTAAAACAACACAGCCATGACACCTGAGCTTAAAACAATAAACCCAAGTCATAAAAGCAGCATTACCAGCAGAACTCGCCTAACCTAGCCCAAACGCCCGGGGAAACAGCCTGGTCTTCGCTGCCTTACAAAAAGCTAACAGAGTTGGAACCATCTGGGCCTCTGCAGGGATGCTGTTCCATAGGATAGGCACTACCAGATGGAAGGCATGGCTCCTGGGTCCAAAAAGATGACACCGCTTGATGAAAGAGACTTGGAGCCCATCCTCCCTGTCAGATCTGCTGTGGTGTGCAGAAACAAGAGGTGATTCTGCAAATAGCAAATGTAGGGCTTTATGGTTGATAGCAAGCACCAAGCATTGTACACAGTAGCCTTCTCAAAACCAGTGCATTTTGCACAGCGGTGGTATTATATAGGTATAATAAGAAACACCAAATTTAATTGTGCCACTGCATTCCAGACCAGCTGCAGCTGTGGAACATTCTTCAAGGGTGATCTCTTATAGACCATGCTACATAGGAAGCAACAAAGGCATGAGTCACTGTGATCCAAAAATGAGTATAGCTGTTGTAGAAGACAAAACTGTGAAAACATCTCCCTAGCTGAATCCAAAAGGACCCTGGACTACTCCATCTGGGGAAATGCATTGCCAGGCAGAGTTAAAGACAGGAAACACCCAGATTTAGGGGCTTAAACCCAATAGCCACATAGTCTTGCCAGGGCTGAGCCAAAGCCTATTTCTCCCATCCAGATCCCCATAGCCTTCAGATGCTGAGTGGAGGCCACTGGGAAAGGAGGACAGCAGAATCACTTGGTTGGCCTGAGGTTGAAAGATATAATTAGGTATCATTAGCATACTGATAATATGAAACCCCAAATGGCATGACCTCACCTAGTGGCTTCTGGTAGATATTAAATAGGAGTGGTAGGAGAGAAAAGCCCTGAGGCCTGCCACAGAGCAGAGGTCTCAGGTTTAACTTCTACACTCCCAACACCATTGATTGGAAGCAGCCCTGGAGAAAGGAGAACTGCTATAATGCAGTACTTTTTACTCCCAATCCCTTGTGCTGGAGATAGCAGTGAAGGCTACTGAAATTAAGGAGGGCCAGGATGGATGTACCATCCCATTCCAAACCTACTAGAGATCATCAACAAGGTCAATGTTGCCTCAGTACTGGGTCTGACTGAACTGACTTACAAAATTTCATATTTTTTTTCCAGACAATGGGCATTAGATAAACGAAAATAGCAGCGGAGGAGTCAAGCACAAGATTCAAATAGATAAGCTGACTTTATTGCAGATGCCAAAGAAGCCCTTATAGTGAGAATCAGCTACTGCAGAATCTAGGAATCTAGCTATATTTATTCAGTTCTAGTGTCTCCTCTGCCCTAATGTGATGACAGACTTTTTGACACTCATTTCTCAGCCTTGGGTGTCAAGGGCACTTTCACAGTGTTGCTCTGATCTCTGACTGTTCACTCCATTATCATTGGCTGAAAACATTCCTCCCACCCACAAACAATCAGAGAATCTGCAGCAAAGAATTTCTGAAAGTACTGCAGCAGATTTCATCACAAGAGCAAAAGTGAGGGATGAGACCATTTTGTGCACAGAAACCTGTTCACACATTGAATTTAACTCTAGATTTTTAGGATTTAAATTCTGATCTTCCTAATACTATGTGTAAATACAAGGCCATTATTAGCTGTGCAACAATAGCAATCATATTAATAAAGGAGAATATTTGTAGTTCAGAGCTGACATGAGAGGTCCTTGGTGCTCTCTGAGCTTTTTTGTTTTCTTGCAGACATTTCATTAACCACACTCACAGGCAAGCCCCCAGAATTTAAAGCTGACAGCACACGGCGCTCCTTACTAGCACTGATGACGTTACCTAGTTTGGGTAATGAAATGTCTGCAAGAAAACAACAAACAGCAAGAAAAATAATTGATAGGTTAGGCAGGGTTGACCCAAAAGCTTTCCTTAACTTCAATAACAATCAAAGGGACAGATCCTATATAAAAAGATCTTCAATTATCAGAGAAACATGGCAAATGTATGCATTTAGGTAAACATGAATTTTAATAGATCCAAAATCTATATTTGATACAGAAATGAAGCGGTTAGCATAATAGTATATTTTTGCTATATTTTTTTAAATGCAATAAATATTGGATATAATCTATAGATTCTGTTGCATATTAGCTTCATAGTGATGATATATCTCCATGAGAAATATAAGAAAAGTTTCATTTATGTAAGCTACGTAATGCTTGGGTATGAATATTATCAAACAACTGCATGTTCATAATATATATATATATATAATATAGAATAGCTCTTCAGTAAAAACATAACTTGCTAGAAATATATCTACGCATTCTGCAAAATCACGGAAAGCACCTTCAGTTGTCAACCACTTGTACATTTGAAAATGGAAGCAACTCAGTATTCATGAGTCATTCGTTGATCAAATACCTAGTTTGTAATTTTGATCAAAATGCGCTTCAAAAACTTCATTTTGTGGTTTGACAAGTTCATAAAAAAACACAATTAACAAAATCATGATTTTCAGAAATCACTTTAAAGTTAGGCAATGCACTCGGGATGTTCAAGCATGGATATTAGAGATATATAGGCTTCCTCCCTCCCATATCACAGGGGTCTGTTTGCCAAGAATATGCAGCTATATATGTAGCCCATCATCCTGAACCCAGAAAAAAAAACGTAACTCTTGTCTGTTGAGAAACCATGTGTATTTGCGCTATGTATTCTCCTTTCAGAGATACAACTGACAAAGCCTGTTCAGAAATATATCTGGGAAAACAAAGTACATGAATAGAGTGGGTTGAATTCCACTTCACTTTTTTAATCTAGCATATATGTAAATTAAGCTGCTGCAACTCTGCACAACTGAAAGTTCTGTTTTCACTTAGAAATCAAATTACAATATAATACTGTTTTCACACATACACAAACCATCTGGTTTCTACATGGCCTGATTAGAAATGGAAAGATACTGTTTTGGGTTGTTTTTTTTTCCAATTTTGCTTGCTTTACTTTTTGTTTGACTAATTATATATTTTTCAAGAATTTGTCCCTTTAGTGGATAAAACACAAATCTTATTTATAAAACTAAACAGTTAAGTTGTACCCAGTAACAACAAGGGATGCTTATTGTTTCATCTTTACATTGGATATGTCATCCTATAAAGAGAGATTTTTTTTTAATTACTTGTTGGCATTTTGTGTAAATTAGCTAGATTGGCCACAAGCGTTCAAGTTTGTCAGTGTTGTGCTTTTTTCTCTTTAAAAAAGGGGATCATAAATGGTTGGCATGATGCAACTTCTCCCTCTTCCTTACTTAGCATAAATAATGACTTGATGAGGAATTGTTGCTTTTCTTGGCAATCAGCAACTATTCCAACCTTTTCCCCTTCATAGTATTAACTTTGATTTTGCAATGCAAGCAGTCAGCGTCTAGCTTTTCCCTGAAGCTTCTGCACATGGCGAAATATGTTGCTGTTCAAGGAGGTTAAACCAAACGGAACATAAATCCAGAATCCAATAATCCAAAAAATGTTTAGAGAATGGTCACTTTCTGAGCTATGGTCTACTCAATATCTCTGAACCTTAAACATAAAATCCTGCCTCTTGACAATGGGCAAAGTTCAAAGATCAAGAATTCACAGAGAACTAATCCCTTTGAACATATAAAATAATGTAGATACATTTTATATATCATTTATAACACAACCCTCATACAAGGAAAAATGACATGTAACAAATCACATTCGAATATATGAACAAAGGTTTCACTAGGGCATATAACTCCCCAAAGACAATTCTTATATTAATTTGAGCAATATATAAACCCATATAAAATACCTCACGGCAAATTTACTACAAGTGAAGTTTTGGATGAAATTGGATCTGGACCACTGAATAACTTATAGCATGGGTCAGCTTCTAGAAGGCAAAAGGCATGACCATATATCATGTAAACATTTTTCTTTGAACTACAAAAACAAAGTTAATATGTAATACCTAAAGACCCTAAATGAAAGATCTATTTAAAATCAGAATCTAACTTTATAAAATATGTAGAGATTATTATTTTACATTTAAGTTTATCATTTTCCATACATTTTTAAACTGTTCTAAAATTTCAGTACAAAATAAGTGTAAATCAAGTTGAATAAAAATATATTATACTAAAAATTTATACTTTATCTGTATACAAGCTAATTCTGTTGCTCAAAACCAACAGTATAGTATTGTCTGGTTTTCTGTAAATGTTTAGAATTTCTCATTCATCTGAGGTATTCAGAAAACAATTTAAACATTTATTTTGTATTTCTTTAAACCTTCTATCTTACTATTATCAATTATATTCTTTCCTTTTCATTATCATTAAGTAAACAAAGCTTATTTTTATTTTCTTTCAGTACCCTGGCAGAACTAACCCCAGTTATATTTCCAACGTTTATAGCACTTTCTTGCTGTATATTTTCCACACTTTAAAAGTATGTACATATTTCGTACCTCAGTCTGCAAATAAACAAGACTATTTCACCACCAAAGATACTATACTGTATGTTATTTTAAGTGCCCAGTTGCATATATTCATGCAGACTTAATAGGAATGAAAAAATACATGGAATGTATATAATGGGAACAAAAAGTTGGCCCCTTATAGTGACACAAGTTGTTTTATTTGCATCATCAAACTATACATGGTCTTTCTCTCTGTGTGTGTGTCTTCTTTCCCCTCCCTCCTTTCCCTCGTGTCCTCGAATCATAAATAAAATGAATCATTTGCCCCAAATAAACATTCAAGAAGTAGAGGGGCGAGAGAGAGAGAAAAAGACACACACACACACACAGAGAGAGAGAGAGAATATACAATAGAATCCATAAATTAATTAAACTGACAAATTTCAACTTATATCATTCCATGGACCATGCAATTTGTGGCATGAATGCTAAAAGTTTTTGGGTGCTGCTAAGAAGGGGGGCATTGTTCCTATTGGTCATAATAGTATAGGGAAAAATAGTATAGACTAGAACTGTTCTAGCTCCAGTACTGATAAAAAAGGCCAATGCAGTCAGAGTCTGGGTTTCTAATTATGTCCTTTGTGGAGCAGGGAAGAACCCTGTGATGAAAGGGAGAAGCACTAGAGAAGCTTGGGCAAATGAAACAGACCCTCCACAGATATATAAAAACAGCGTGAATGTCGTTTTCTTCAAATAGCTCATTGGAGCAGATTCCTGTTTCTGTTTGGCAGTAATTTAGCTTAGCTTGGTTGTGGATCAGGATTTGTGCCTGCTGCTTATTCTCTAAGAAATTAAAAGACAGTTAAAACCAAGAGTTAATTCATATAGCAACCTGCTTTTTGCCAATCAAACCTATTACCTTCCAGCAGATTTCACTTTCTAATATTTCTGAATTCAAACTGTCCTAATATTTACATTTAACAACAGTGAACATTCCAAGAAACAGTGCCCTCTCTTTTCACAAAGTGTAGTGTAAATTGAGAATGACTGCAAAGAAAGGAGAGCTTTTTGGTTGGTTGGTTTGGTTCCAATTTTGCCACTCATGGCTTCCTGATGTGCTTTTCTTCATTCCAAGTTTCTGTATTTGGTGAACAGATTGTAGAGCACTCTCAGCGTTGATTTTAAGTCACAGTTGACAATGTCTAAAAAGACAGAGAAGTGGGGGAAGGAAGGAAAGGTGAGCTTTTTAAATAACCTGAAATCACTGTGAGCAAATTAAAAGGCCCACATTGGGAAGAAACATAATCACATATTCACATTTATAGGCCAAGACTACAGTTCTAGTAGTAAGACTACTGAAAGCTATTTGATTTTAACAGAGTTTTAGCAACCAACCTACAGGATTATAATAAAAGCTTGCTACAAGTGACAAGTGCATTCCTTTGGAACAGGCCTATGTAGCTTTGGACCCATGAAACCAAATACAACCCACTTGCTATCTAATTATGGCTCATTAAGTGGGCGATAGACCTTCTGGTTTTACTACTCACATGGGTTTACAAGCATATGGGGTGATCAGGCACTTGGCAGGCTACAAGTGGTTCAAAAGACGTGTTAGACTCAGTTGGTCAAGTTATTCTGTAGCTCTGATGTTGTTAGTACAGCTGAAGCTGAAAACCTAGAAGCCCAAACATTTCTCGGGCTTCTGTGTGGCCTAGGAGGACTTTTTGACTAAGATGACTGCTCTAGCAAGTCCTTTTGTGCTCTTTGGGATAGCACAACAATAGTATAAGGAGAGGGCTGTAAAGCACTGTAAAGCAGTATTTAAGTTTAAGTGCTATTGCTATGATTTACTTTTCAAGAATGATTGCAGCACTGACTCTGCAAATCGCACTGCTGTCTTCAGGGTAAGTCTCTTGGCAAACCATACAGAGGTAGTTTATATTCCTCCAGGAATGCAATGTTTCATTGTGCCAGTTTCACTTACAGCTCTGGAATTTCTTATTGATCTCCCAAGCAAGGACTAACTAGGTCTGCCCCAAAGCTTAGATAGACTAAATTCAACTGGATTTGCTGTCAAAAACACAGGTAGCATTAAAACCAAGAAGAGGTATTTTAAACATTTAAACAAAAATTCAATAATGTTTCCAATTACTGTACTCAAGATTGAGTGCTTTTTCATAAACCAAACAAGAGAAAATGTTTAAACTTTGGATATGATGAGTGGAATAGCAATAGCATTTAGGCTTTTATACCAGCCCATAACACTTTACAGCACTCTCTTGGCAGTTTACAGTGCAGAAGCATTATGAGCATATTGTCCCACACAATTTGGGTCCTCATTTTAGCAGCCTCAAACGGATGGAAGGCTTAGTCAACCCTGAGCCCCGTCAGGATTGAACTCCAGGCTGTGGGCAGAGTTAGCCTGCAATATTGCACTTTAACCACTGAGCCACCAGGGCTCCTCAAGGATTACACCTGGTTTTAGTTTATTTTTGGTTTTAGTCTAGCCTGGGTCTACTCCGGCCTCATAGCCTCATGATGAGCAGACTGACCACTTCCCAAATTCCCAGAAATGGTCCAGGGCTAACTAAGTATTCTGGAACTCTCCATCCAATTCCATCAGAGCACTTTCTGGGCAAGCATTGAAAAGCAAATGCTATTTTAAAGACCACCATTATATATTTTCCCTCTTAGGGCTCCATGCAACATATCCACACTATGCATCAGGCTAGTACTAGGGAAAGATTCTAATTTATTGTGTGTTGTCTTTGGAAAATACATTCCATATTAAGATATTAAAAAGAACTAAATATCAGATTGGATCTGCTGCCTGTGATTGCTTTTGAGACCCCCTTGTGTGTTTAGAAGAAATACAGATTATACAACTTTTGATTTATTCTGTCAGTTGTATGTGCATGGAAGGCATTTTGAAATAGTTTGGTAAACAACCTTTATCGCTTCAGGTTATTTAATTACTGGTTATTTCAAAACATTGACAACGAGATCCCAAGGGCAGCTTGTGTAGACTTCAATGTGCCCTCTGCTGACCATTTGTTATGCCTGTTAGGCTTTCTGCATTATCAGATTATCTTTTTCTTTTAATCATCATTTTTTTAAAGAGAAATAGTAGGATGAAATGCTCCAAAGCAAAAATGCATTTCAGCATTCCTCCTCCCTGAATGCTTCTGTTTCCCATAAAAATGAGAATAAATGTGTGAAGAACACTGCAATGCCTATCTTTGAGAATTGGTGCCCATGAAAGGGGAGCTGGTCTAATGGACTACCGTGAAGCAGCAGTTTCCCAGGAAATGGGGTGGGGTGGGTGAGACAAGAGATGACACAGCCTGGAATTGATTGGTAACAGAGGAAGAGAGTTAGAATAGCCACTCCCTAGAATCTTCCAGGGTATATTAGTTAGGGCGAGAATAGAATCTGGCAAGATTCTGTCTATTGTGTTGTAGATAACCAAGAACTAAATTCTGGTTGAATTGCTCCTCCTCATTCTTGGACTTAGCCTGACATAAAAATGACACATGTAAGCCAAACTAGGAGCACACATTCAATAGTTTGGACATACACATATCCACACACACTAGCTTTTTAACTGCTTATGCCAATAATTTCAACTTGTGAAGGGCACCCTCCTGCTGCAAACGTTTTATAGGAACGACCAACACACTCTTAAATGCCAAGGGCTCTGTTTTTGTCAGTCATTCTTGATAGAAAGGATAACGTTACAGCTTTGAGGAAAGATATTGCTAGATATGGGGTGGCAGTAAAAATAAATAATTTTTACACAGCACTCAGGGAAAAAACTTATGCTGAATGTTACAGAATTTGCCTCTTTAAAGCTGCTTGAAAGCTGGAGAGGAACATTTTATTTCATTGGTGACGAAGGTTCTCATTTTATTTATAGACCAAAGATTTGAAAGGCAAATTCCTTATTCTGTTCTTGTTTCTAACTATTTTTCATTCAGAAAAACAAGGGAAGAATTTAAAAGCTATTTTATGTCCACTCCACAATTATTAAAATGCTTTTCTGTACATGGGTGCTTGCTGGAAAATCTAAATGCAGGCATTGTGCCCAGATGTAACAACATATAAAACAGATGTGTTTTTCCATTCATATTGAGCAGGAAATTTCATATTAAGCATGTTAATAATTGTACATGAATGCTGAAATGTCTGTATGGTTTGATTTATACCAGAGGGGGAAAAAATCAACCGTTTCTCAAAGCAGTAAATACCTGAAAAACTGAAATGCTGTAATAACATTAATGGGCCATAAGGGATAGAGAATCGTAATGTTTCCATTTACAGCCTAATTCTACAATTCCCACTCTATCTTCACTCAGATGCCACAAGGTAAAACTTGAATCCATAAGAAGATAGATAACACAAAGTAGCCCCTGCTAATCTTAACTCACAGCTCTTCTATTACTTGTCGTTTTAGGGCAATTTAAAAAATCCAATCCCACCCCATTAAAGGAAAAAGTGATTAAGGGTGAAGAGCATTAAAATAGTAAACCCTAGATAACAGGTAATTGTATTTGCCAGAGAAAATGGAAAGAATTATGGTAAGTTATACCCAAGACAAAAAAGAGGAAATAGATCAATGTAAGTGATGTACGTTTTGTCACTTGTCCTTTCTTGCCCCTCTTCTACAAGCAGCCATGCCCAAATGAGATATAGTCTATTCAAGGTATGCCCTATTCTATATCTGGACTTGCTGGCAAATTGTAACATTTCCATGGCTATCAACAAAGTCACTGAATCCTAACCTGAGCTGATGTTAAACATCACCCCACAACCCTGAATGTGATTTCATTAGAGATATCTACAAGGATGAGAAGAACAGCCCCCGCCCCAAAAACACCCAATTTCAGCAATTACCCCGCCTCTGTTTGGCATCAAATCCAATAATGGAGCTCTTGCAAGATTCAGGAAAATAATTATTTCAACCACCTACATTCTGAATGTACAGGCTATCCTCAAGTTACTACCATAACAGAGTCCGCCCAATAACCAAGTCATGATATCCGTAAAGCAGGTTGGTCATGTGACCAGTCTAATTTTATGACCTTTGTTGTGCACTCATTAAATGAATGCCACAGTTGTTAAGCAAATGCCACAGTTTTTAAGTGAATCAACACTTTGGTGCCAATTTCACTAAAAAACAGAACTGCTTTTGACAAAACAGTTGTAAAACACGGTCATATAATTGCAGCAGCCCACAAATGGACATCAATAGGACCTAGTTGCCAAGCACCCAAAGTGCAATAATGGGATTATCAGAACATGGAATATGAATTAGACCCCAAGTAGGTCTGTTGGAACTTTGGTCGATAAGCAATCAATTGTAAATCAAGGATTACCTATATCTGTTACTTTGGTGGGAAATCTTGTGATTATGGTATCATTTTGGTAAGTAAATGTCCTTTTAAAAGTCTTATAAAAATCTGTTTTTACAGAAAGAAGATCATTAATACTATTTCTGGAAATCATCATGAGCCACAGTGATGCAAGTGGTTACAGTACAGTACTGCAGGCTACTTCTGCTGACTGCTGGCTACCAACAATTTGGCAGATCGAATCTCACCAGGCTCAAGGATGACTCAGGTGGATGACGAGGTGGGTAAAATGAGGACCCAGATTGTTGGGGACAATATACTGACCCTGTAATCTGCTTTGGGAGGGCTGTAAAAGGACTGTGAAGCGGTATATAAGTCTAAGTACTATTGCTATTGATATCAAAGCTATTCTAAAGATCAAATGTGGAAACTATCAAATGTCCTCTGGGCTGAAAAACAGAAACTTTAAGATTTATATCTACTTAGGATATTAGAATTTCATTTGTTTGTGTTTCTAAGAAAATAACAAATAATGAATGGAAAATTAATTAATCCTCATAATTAGATTATCAAATGAAAATAGGCATTTATTTCCCATGAATCTTTCCCTAACTTTTAGGTGATTTTTTACCAATGAAATGTATCTTCAAGACATTCAACATATACCTTCTGGCCTTGGCTTTGGTTTTTCCAGCCCTCCATCTTGCATTAACTCAAATGCAAATGAGACATTGAGTACCTAATGGGTTAATTAAGAGAAAGCAATTACTTACAATTCTAGACTAATGAAGCAGAATAAAAATAGAAGAGTGACATTTATTTAATCTTTATTTAAATCAAGTGTTATTGCGGGTTTTTTTGTGCAGTGCTATGAACCCTCTTTTAGGATGACAACCAGTATAAACATAAATAGTCAAATTAATTCTTCTTTAAATGCATAAAAGTTTACCTTTTGTTCAAAACTGTCAGGAGTTAGGAAAAAGCTGTGAAGAGGCACAAAATAACCTTCAAGGAGACCCATCAGCAGCACCAGGTATACACCATCTGCAAACTTTTAAAAATAACACCTCTTTAAAGATCTAATCTTGTAAAGATACAGGATTTTAAAAAAGCAATCGCTTGATTTTAAAGTTTTGTAAGCATAGACAATTATGCATCACAGAAGTTCCTGTCATTAAGAATGGTAGGACTCAGGTGCTTGTAAGTGATTCAGAAGAACTGAAGTACCTGATCAAGTTCCCTTCATATAATATCAATCATATTATAAATATCTGCTCTACATGACTTCAAGCAAACCAATTTTCTGTTGTCCACGTGTAACAGAAAAAAGGATTAACATATGTGGCATTCCTAGAAAAGGAATTTTAAAAAATAGCTTTCCTTGAGCTGAATTCAAATGAATAGCTTCCCTTGATTTAAAATGAATTTTGCAGACACATCAATACAATTCTCTTGGCTTGGTATGAAAATGGCTTGTCATCACCTTTTCTCAGTTTTTTTATTTAATTTGCCAGTTTAGACACTAGCCTTGGATTTCACAGGATACCTCCTATAAAATAGTGAGCAGAAACACTCCTGCTTTCTAGATTAGCCTAGGTCCATTACCAAGTGCTACCATTTTCTCAAATAACAATTCTATCTGAAAGCATTTTTAACATACAAGACAAATCACTGCAAGTTTGCTGGCATGCCTTATATTGCTTTCATTCAGCCGTTATTATTTTTATAAATAACTCAAGGTGGTGAACATATCTAATGTTCTTTCCTCCTCATATTTTCCTGATAGATTTCAGAATTTTCCTGAATTCACTACAAACTGAATTGTCTGCTATTCAAAAGTCAAGGGATTTTTTTTAAAAAAAGTAGAAGTATTATTATTTTTCTATATTTAATGAAAGAGCAGATACAAAGCTCTTTCCTTTAATTTAAAAGGAGCAGAAATAAGAAAAAAAAACCCGGTTGTTGTATTTTAGCATACAATGAATTGGTTTGGACCAGATAATAAACCAGGGTTCAGGGTAATGCTCAAACTATATGTTATATTAGCATAGTTATTTTCATCTTAGCGTCATCTAACTATCTCTAATGCTTACCATCAGCAGTTTAACCTCCTTTAGTCAGACCCTAATTATTTCATTCCTCTGCCACAAATCCTCTTTCACTTTAAATCCCCATTTTTTGAAACAATGCCTTTCAGATGTTATTGACCTTTAGCTTCTGGCAATGCAATCCATCTCTCTATTTGGCTAACATCACTTTCAATAGCATATTTTGGGGGACTTCTAGTATATTTTGAGTCAGAAAATGACAATTGAGTAAACAATGTGACACGTTAGGCACCAAAACAAAGAAATGCTATTCTTTTCCCTTTTGAATATCGCAATATTGTAATCTTCCTCAATATCTTATTTTCTCTCCTCCTCCTAAGTGCATATGAATTTTTTTATATGCCACAGAAAAAGGAATGTAATATCTGCCAAGACTTCCATCCTATCACCAGTTTTCATGCAGATGGTCCCATGGGGAAAACTTGGGTGGGGGGGTCAATGAAGACAATGAAAACCTGTGCAAAATAGAATATGGTTGCTGGACTTTTCATTGGGGTATTCAAGAAGAGGGACTAGATCTAGATTTCTAAATTGGATCAAAGGCACAATTGTTTCTTGGGAGGCAAATATTTTACTGCTTTTATTTTAAAGCAGGGCAGGAAAAAAACCCTACAATACACAGTAGCTTTATGATACTTTCAACTTCAGCAGCATAGATTCATGCTCTGGTTAAAAATGGCATTTTCTTTTCCATGGGAATGTTCAAAACTTTTAACTCCAATTATTGTTTTTTGTCTTATGGAGAAATCAAGTGTAGATACGGTGGATTTTCTAGCAAATGCAAACAAAAATAAGATCCTTGTGATTCTATGAATTTCCTTTTGATAGTGAAGAAAACAAGATGCTCTGTATAATGGAATATTAATACAAACACACATCATGACATATTTTCTCCCTACATGTGCACAGAATCTGGAGGATCAAACAGTTCAGTCCATTATTGCTACATAGAACCAAAGCCGTTCCATAGTTGGTCAGATGGATTCTGTCATCTAGCCGACAAACATATCAAAAGTTTGCTGACTTTTTTATATGGATGGCTTAGCTTTCATTTAATCTATTCTTACCACAAATGTTTTAGTCATTCTGTTATATATCATGTAATAGTTTTTTGTTAACCAACAAGAGCCCAATTTCATGGTATCCTTCTAACCAATTTAATTTTTAAAAAATGTCTATCAATAGCCATGGTTTCAGATAGTAAAGATGATCTTTGTTTTGTATCCATGATATAAACTGTAAAAAAGTGAAGGATGGACAAGAAAATAAAAGATAATCTTCCTATATATCAGGCGTGTCAAACTCGATTTCATTGAGGGCTGCATCAGGCTTGTGTTTGACCTTGGGGGGCTGGGTGGGCGTGTCCAGGATGGGAGTGACCAGCTTGACATCATTTGTGTGGGGGCACCTGTGGCCCAAGTGCTCTGCCAGAGAAAATGGGCTCCTGAGCTCAGTTTTTGGCTGGGTTGGCAACCCCCTGCCAGCAAAAATGGAGCTCAGGAGGGCCGTGTTTTTGCTGGCACAGGCACCACAGGCTGGTCCTTCACTATTTCCAGGGCGGCCCTGAAGGCCAGATCTAAGTACCCCCTGGGCTGGATCGGGCCCCCGGGCCGTGAGTTTGACACCCCTGCAATACATTTCATCTTCATTGATTACATGGTACAAACTGGAATAATGTTAAGAAACAGTTCTCCTTTTTAAAATACATCTATACAATCCTACCTGGGTTTCTAGTTCTGTAACTTCCAGATTCAGCTTATTGAGGTGCTTATTCACAAAAGTAATGAGAGTCTAGAAATTAAGAACATAAGCTTTAAAGGTTTTTAAAAACAAGAGTTCCATAAAACATGCAATCTGAGCTTTAAAATAATTTAGCATTTAGTAAATTTGCTTGTTTGTTGGCTTTTGAGAAAGAGGAAAATGCTATGGAACTCCATCCTAAATATTAAATAAAGAATGACTACATATTTCTGGGAAATATTTATCACTTCAAAAAACAAAGCATTATCCTGTTGTAACAAATAAGCTGTTGTAAAGTGGAATGGCACTGTTTTCTCTTCAAGGAAGCTGTGCTGATCTAGATCAACTGGAGACCATATAATACAAATGTGTGAAATGGCAATTTTGGTATTTCATTCCTTTTCTATACCACCTTTCACTAGAAATAATGTACAGAAAAGCATTTGCATTTATATTATGAAATATTTATTTTAAGTAGAGGGGAAAACAGGTAAAACTTCTCAGATTTCAATAAGATGCTCTTTCATACAGCGATTTTCTATACAGTACCTCCAGTGAATATTCAGAAGGATCAATAGGAAGCCAAAAAGCCAAGAGAGAACTGAAGTACTTATACAGAGGGAAATATGATGGGAGGCAAGAGACGGGCAGTTTCCAGGGGAAGATTGGAAAACTGGTGCCAAGTATTTTCTTAGTCCAAATCCTAGATACCAGAATGTAGAAGGCCTTGATCTGAAACTGATATTGCTGAATGACACATCCACATGTAATATGATCATGTTCCTCTACATATGAAGGGGAAAGTACACCTGGGACGTGTTGCTGAAATCTAGTTGGGCACAGATGGAGGGGGAGTCCCCTTGTCTAAGATGTACCTGGCTATATTTTGCTAATTCCACCAGTCTAAAGCTTTAGGAGGAAGAATGGGAATGATCCTCCAAAATACATTAGTGACCAGGTGCTGTGCTGCACAGATAACTGGAGGAGAGAGTACATATCTACAGTACGTAACTTAGCACCAGAGCTAACTTGTATTGCCTATTCTACTGCCTAGCACGCTTCCTACTTAAGCTGTTTGACATTATGGCTGACTCATGGTAGATTTGCCTTGATTTTGGGGGCTCTGGGATTTTAATATTCCTGACTTAAGGTAGGTTTGGGATTACATGATTTCTATAAAGTATGGGGTGTTTTTTTGTTGTTGTTGCAAATCACACATACTAGAGGCCCACTAGAATAGCCTTTATTTAGAGAAGTAGGGATGAAATCTGAAAATCACATATGTTACTCTTGGTTCTTTGCCACAGTCAATTTATTTCCTGGCTGATGATGCCAGTTGGCACCATGGATTAAGATGGTCAGCCACAGACACAGTATGGATACTACTGAAGCAACACCAATTGCTGGGAATTTTCTCAAAAGTTTGGAGAGCACTTCAGCTAGGCGCTTGGTCAATCAACTTCTACAAAATGCAGAGATTATTTCAACTGCTGTAATTTAAAAGAATATCCTTTAGATCTAGAGGAGCTATTTGGTTAATCATGGACCTTCGTTGTCTAGTGATCCTTCAGCTCTATATGGTAGCAGTCAGGTTGGAAAAGTGTCAGTGCTTCCCACCCTTAATGTATCTGTGGATTGCTATCTAGCAGTCTTACTAGATAGTAGTTTTGCAGGGTGTTTGGTCAGAAAAACTTTCCTATAAGGTCTTTTGTTGCCCAAATAATTTGGAATTAGATGCCACATGGACAGAATCCAGTGAGATGACAAGTATTGTATGAACATATCTTGGATTTACTCAAAATATAAATATTAAAGAAGGGGACAATGTTTTTGGTTACAGAGCTCTTTCAACTTTGGAACTGATGCTGCTTTACCTAGCTAGTGAAAATTGGGGATTGGGTTCAAGGTTTTGTGAAGGTTTTTTGAAGGGGGGATGATGCCATGCACCTTGATGTACATATATGATAGCGTATTGTTCTTCAAGAGGCCATCCTTTTGGCCTCAGGTTGAACTTGAAGAGTACACTACTTTGCTCTGTACCTGGATGACACAACTGCAACTGAAAGCATAGAACAAAAACAAATCTATGGAATGTCTTGGCAACATCAAAGTTTAGTTCTAATTAAATTCAGTGAGTTTCCAAGATAGTTAAATAGCACCTGTCAAAAACATTTTTGCCTCACCTTTTTCACAACATTGAGTTTATCTGGAGCATGGTCAAACAATGTGTCAAATGCATCTCGTTCTGAAAAACAGTTGATGAGAACAACCTGTTAAATGTTAAACTACATTTAACATATAGTTAAATGCTACATTACTAGTGTAGGAATTCAAACACCAGAAGGTCATTGACATCTACATTTAATAAGGAATATTTGGTCTACCCAAATAATTCTTGGCCTTTATTTTCCAAATGCACATTCATGTCGATCTATTTTGAAATCTATTGTTCTCCAGCCATGCAGGTTAGAAAGTATAACAAAGTATTGATTTAAGAAATGTAATTATTTTCTAATTATTAAGAAAGTATTCTTCTTTAGAAGAAATATACATTTACAGATCAATTAAGAAAATTTGGAATGTGAACTTAGTTGACTTTGAATTATATAACATAATTAATTGGAGAATAATTTACAAACATCTAGAAAATGTCAACAATCAATTTGTGCTTACCATGCCGTCCTGACATTGCCCTATAGAAAAGAAATAATGCAATTATTTGTATGAGTCCTCCTAAGAGTCATTTAATACATTTTGGTCAAGGCACAAGTAGGCAAAGCAAATTAAACATGCACCTGCTAATTACATTCAAAGCAGAAAAGATTGACTCTGAAAATTCCATTAAAACAAAAGCCACAGAAGGTGCTGTCTGAATGACCAAGGAGTAGAAGATCCATAAATCTGGTGCCATCAACTAAGAAAGCCCTTACCTGAATTGTTTCTAATTTGACTTCTAAGTTGGCGCTCACAAAAACTCCTGAAAACATATATGGGAAAACTACCTTCTTGTTTAAGGAATTATTTGATTTTAAAGCTTCCTATATTGAGAACATCTCCATATCTTTATATTATTTCTATTTTTATTATTTGGAGTGAAGCCTGTTTGAAGTTTCCATTAGTGGAACCCGTACTCTACAAGGAAGATTTGGTAAAACTGGAATGTCTTAACCTTGACTTGACTTACTCAGTATTGCCAGTTATTTCCTCTTGGATCTGTCGGGACTGGAGGATTCCTTCTCGTTTCTGAAAAAAATAACAATAATTAGCCATAAAATAGGCAATATTTAAACTGTAAAATTATATCTTCTCTAATTTCTTTCCTTATTTATACTTTTATTAACTATTAATTCTAAGATGGGAATCTTCCTGTATGAACTCTGACTCGTGTATATAAGGATAGCTCAACAGGAATTTTTATAAGTTAATGGCAAGCATTCATTATGGCTGAATATTCATGTTACTGTTATTCCTATTCTAAGGGAGGGTCAGTAATTTTAAATAGGAAACAGAAGGCAGCAGAAGATCCATGATGCAAGATGGGCCAAGAAGAGACTAGATGGAGACTTATATTTTATAAGTGGTAAGTAGGGATGGACAACTACTTTTACCTGTCACTTTACTGTGAATGCATTCATAACTCTTCCCTCATTTCCACATTAATAAATGCTTTTTATTACAAAAAAAATTCTACATAAACATTCACCTTTAGTTTTGTTTTTTTCTCAGAACCTGGAATTTCAACTTGCTTTCTGTCAAAGTAAGCATTTCCAAATAAATTTCAAAATAATAATTGGAAATTGGTTTGAAAATCAGAATAAGCACTTTGATTTAGTTTTGAAATAAGAACAACCAATTCCAACTGACAGATACATACTATTCTGCTTTTTTTTTTCCTGGAAGGTTCAGTCCACACCTTGTGGAAATGTACAAAAAGATTTATATATTCCTACACCAGTGCTTCCAACTATGGTATATTCAAGATCTATGGATTTCAGTTCACAAGAGCGTTGATTGCCAAGAATTCTGGGAGCTGCATGCCACAACCCTGCCAATTGCTAAATCTGGAAAACTCTGCCCTGCCCTTATAAGGATGCCAGTGGTGAAAAGGGAGATTCTCCAGAAGCAAAATTCAGCCAGTTAAATATCTAAATAAGAGAATTTCTAAGGCTGACTGAATTAGTCTGAATATATGTTCAGCTTCTAAAAAGTAACAGTCCAAACCACTCCAAATATCAAGCAAGGAGACATTATATTTTATTTAACAGTAAAATTTGTGGCTTGGCATAACAAAATCAAGATCCTGACAGCAGGCAGGAATCTTGCCATCACCAGGGTTCTGTCTTAAATTCCCAGTTTGCTTTGAAACTGTCCTCTGCCTTTTATGGAAAGAAGGACTTCAAACCTTCGTAGGGTGATTATTCACTTCAACGTTAGGGTAATAATGGTAGCTGGTAATTTTGCAAATATGGCATATTGTCCTACTCATTTGGTGATGTATTCTCATTTTTTAAAAAGGCTTAACTACAAGAATCAAAAGGTATCCCCCCCCCCCCCCCCCCGCCTTCCACTTGAAGTAATTCTCGTATAAAACCCAGGGAACCAATTTCAAGCAGGTATTGTTGTGTTTGTTTTCCAAACAGCCACAATCTTATTTGTGTATGGTTACTTATACAAAATATAAGCTTGTTCTGCCTGTTATTTTAAGGAGACAGGAAGCAGCTTGTCTTAGAAATATATATCATGGAAGCTAGAATTTTCACAGTCTCTTTCTCCAGAAAAAAAAAAAAACAATTCTGAAGAACTGACAAAAGCAAGTTCAGTAAAAATAATAATGATTTTAAAATGTGAATTTGAAATTGTAGGTAGGTCATACAGCTGGCAGACTGATAGAAAGATCTATATTATTTGCCATGTTGAACATGTACTATCAAAAGAGGCATTTATTAAACTTGTGTTCAGTGAGCAAATGCAAATATTTGAAGTAGAAAGTAGAGCCTGCAAATCCTTTGAGGGAAATGCTTTGAACCCAGGGGAGCATATACAAAGCATCTCTCTTCAAATTGCAAAGCAGCCACCTCTGTTTCCTGGCTTTTACGAGCTGCTTCCACATGTGTTTGCACAAGTTGCCACTTCGTTTCACATTTCCCTCAGTAAAGCAAAATGCATGTGCACATGTATGCAGATAGAGAGCTGGAAGCAGCTTCTGAAGCAGCAATGTAAACCCGGAAATTGGCAGGCTCTTTCATGATTTGAAAATTTGATCTGTGTGTATATTCTTTCACAAGATTTGTATAGTCCCAGTAGAATGCCACAACATGGAGCAAGACAACCAGAAAGGTGAAAAATATTAACTTTAGGACTCTTGCATGACAACCTCAGAGTTACACTTTGCCAAAATCTGATTTAATCTTTACTATATTAATGTTACCGTTCCGCTGTTATGCTATCAGTACACTCAGCTCTAAGAGAAATGCTGTGCTTTTGACTTTTTTCTCATTGAAGAAAAATAAAGCAGAAACATGCCTTTTTTCTAAATACTTTCTGTAGTTTCAAAAGGGTGCAGAGATGCAGAAAACATTCATTCATACCTGGACAACCACAACTTGAATAGACACATGATCTGGCAGCCTGATGGGGGCCCGAAAATACTGCGACAATGCAACCAAAAGATGCAGTATTGCAACCAGGCTTTTTGCATGGACAGCTGAAAGAGAGGAACTGAAATATTTTACTTGCCAACAACTATCAGTATGCAGCATATTTTATCTTTTAATACTTTGCCCACGAGAGGTTAATCCAAGGGTATTTTCGTCTGTTTCTCTTTCCTGCCGTAAATCAATGGGTCTTATAAAAACAACTAAATCAACATTATTCCATTGGGTTAGGTGTTGCATGCTTCTTGTGATTTAAGAGGTTTGGGCGGCTGTAGTAAGTGCTATCTATGGATACCTAAGTGACATTCCTCTATCTACACTATTCCAATGTTGATTTATAAAATATAAGGATATTTTTTTTGATTTATAACATGCACTTAATTTACTTTTAAGTATCATAATGTCTGCAGGAAGATGAATGAGTCCATTTAAGCCCATACCCTTGTGCAATAACTTACTAAACAGACTCAAAAATTCCTCTCAAACTTGTTAAGAGGTCTTTCACAGCAGGCTTTGTATATGTACTCAAGACTAACAAGGCTGCAAGGTATCAAAAGACTTCCTATAGGAAATTTCTAATCTGTAATCATCAAAAGAAATAATTCAAAACTCATCATCATCATAATCATTCCCTTAACTTGGAGTATCCATGAATATCATGTCAAAGTATTTGAGGTTAAGCATGCTTCAATTTAAGATTACTCACATATTATAGGACAACAATATAATAGTTGTTAATAACAACTATTCAACTGTATTGAATAACAACTATTCAACTGTATTGTTTGTCTATGTTTGATAACAGGTCTTTTGCAAACTAAAACTACAATGAAACACTTTCCAAACAATACCATTTTTAGACTACCTATAGGATAAACATGCTTAAGCAAAACAACCTAATGTGTATAGAAATATTTTCAGACTTTATGGATGATGATCCAGCACAATATTTAGGATAAAGGATGGAGTATTATATCATATACAGGAAATCCTTGTTTTACAACCGTGGTGAACCTGAATTTCTATTATATGTCATGATGGTTGGAAGCTGAGGAACCCACATGATATTTTTTACAGCAATTATTAAATGAACATGGTGGTCATTAAGCAAATGTGGGAGTTGCTAAACTGTCCAGTGCTTTTTGCTGAAACCAGAAGAAAACACTAGTTTCTGGCAAAAATGATGTAAAACGTCATATGATTATGGGATGCTACAAATGGCCATAAATGTGGGTCAGTTGTCAAGTGCCCAAAATTCAATCAAATGCCTGGAGGGACAGGCAGCAGCTCCCATTGGAACTTCAAATTTGAGTCTTAAGTATCTTTTTTGGGGGGTGGGTGGATGAATCCATCATAACTTCAAATGGTACTAAAGGATTGGTCTAAGTTGAAGATTCTCCTGTGCATGATTTGAACGAAAGAATTCTAGTGTTAGATATCCTTTTACCAAGGAATACTTCTGGGAAAGGCTTTTTTCTCCCAACCTAACTCAGCTAACTGGGAATTGAAGGGAATAAACAGAAGCATCTCTTGGACATGGTTGTAAATTCTTTGCAGAATTTGCATAATGAAGAAAATGTATTACAGGATTTGCTCTGAAATTTGTGAGAAAATTATCTCGGTTCTCTGGGCAAGAGACAATACAAAAAATAACAACATTACATAGACTAGACTTTTTATTTTCCTGTGAACCAACTCCTTTAGATTTTCTTGGATATCAGTCTTTTTCATATTTATTGTTCTATAAAGCCCCATTACAAATTATATCAGAAATCAGCAAAAAGACCTCTCCAGTTTTGAAGATATTCCTTGACGAATGCAGCACTTTGCCTTCATTTGTGAATGCTATATGGCACATACAATTGGAATTTAAACTTATCAACCTTTGAGTTGACGATTATTTGCCAACAATTACAAGCTTCTTTCTTTCGCTCTCTCAGTATGTCTTTGTATATATGTATGTATATGCTTTTAAATATATCTAAAACATTCATAAACATGCACAAATTCATGTCTTCATACACATACCCCACTAAATTGGCTTCTGGTTACAAAACATTTCTGTCTTTTTTTCTTATTTAATAAACTTAACACAATTTTAATGTAATTTGTATAATACAAATTCTACTGTAAATAAATAACTCACAGTCCACGTTCCATTTGATGTTCCTTGGAGGAAGCTTAAGGGTTTCATTGATCTTTTCAAGGACTGTCTGTAGCTTCTGTTTCTGAGCTATTTCAGACTGTGTGACTTCAGCCACATTGAGTTTCTCGCTCTCAAGCTTCTCTGAAGTGATAATGGAAGAAAAAACAAGTCTTTGCCTTAACTCCATGTACCCAGTTCAATGTGAAGACATTCTGTTCCACATATTTCAAAATGGATTTTCTATAGAGAACCTAATTTAAAACTTCAAAAGTAACCACTGACAAATCACGAAGCAAAACTAAGTACAGTAAGGAAAAAATCTTTCCTTCTGTTGCAGATTTCAATACTTTTAATAAAGCACAGTGATTTCAATACATTTTACATTTATTTCTTCCAAAAATATATATCTGACAGTAGTGATTAATGAGGTTCCTAGGAAAAAAAACTAGAATATTTTACTAATATTAATTATAGTAACATTTTTTCAAAACTTTATAGTATAGTTTTCCTCAAAAACGGCCTTTAAATCTTGATGTCATCATTAAATATGATAGCACTACAGAAAGAGAAATTTCAGAGAGATGTAAAGTAAAAATAATTTAAAATATAATACAAATATAAAGGAAATGGTTATTTGCTGTTTAGACATTATAGACATTCATTGGATAAAATCTATGAAAAGTAGGAACAAATTATTCTTAGGAAACAAAAGGAACTTATCTTTTCTTATTTCTTGGTTTTTTTTTTTAAAAAAACACTCTATATATAGGCAAAATTTCATCACACTATGCATGAAAATAAAATTACTTCTTACCAAAGAGTTTTTGCAGTACTTGTCCATCATACATGTCTTCAGCCAGATCTTTTACTATTATTCTTTCTCCTACTAATACATCGTTAATCCAGTCTATTAATACCTTTGTTAAAGAGACCAAGATTTAACAATATTACCCATGCATCATTGCAAATGTATGTTATGATGTTCAAGATAATAGGAAAAAATTCAACACGAAAGATGCAATGTATCAAGTTAAATACAAGAATTAAAATCTTGATATTGAAATATGACTATTTATGGCTGGTGTATGTTATATTATATCAAATGAGTTAAGCTACACCATTTTTTTTTAAAAAAAGCTACCCATTTTTCAGTTTCCCAAATGTTGAAGTTACTTTATAGCAGAATTATATTTTTCTAATCAATTATCAGTAGACATTACAACTACTTAATGATGATTGCTGGATAAGTTACTGGGTAAGACTTAAAATATAAATTATTGCAATTCAATAGTGAAATTCAATGGAACTTAAAATATAATTATAGAAATCCAGTAGTTAAATTCAATGGTATTTAAGCATGAGGTAAAAAATAAAGACATCCTCAAGTCATATTCAGGTCATAGTAATCTGATGAACACAATTATGTAGGGTTTTTTGGCAGTGATTCAGAAGGGACAAACAACATTTTTTTCCAGTTTTGAATCAGTACTGAAGATTAATATAATTATACATGAAGTAAACAATGAAATTTTAAAGAATGTTCTTCACATTCCAATATTTGTTCTCTCAGCAAATAAATCATTTACAGTAAATTGTATTTTTAGCTTTTTTTTGTTTATAGAAGAAAATGTTGGACTCAAATTCTAAATTTTCAAGGAGATACTTTCCACTATTAAAAATCTATATGTAAGGTTTGAATAGCAGAAAGGACTCTCTTCTACTTTACAAAAAGTGGACATGGAAGGCCCTCCGGTTTTGAATCTCCCTGAAAATGGACCGCTGACCATGACTGTGCGCGGCTTTGGTCCATGCTTCGCCATCAGAGAGCCCCAATCGATCAGATTTGGGGCAGAAGCTGCCTTGTAGGGGTGGCGGAGGAAGGGGAGACCATCAGCTGGGTAGAGGGAGTTGCAAATCCCCTCCCTGGCTTTGGAATTGCTCCCTCCTGAAGATGTCTGAAGCGGTGGTCTAAAATGGTCACCCTGAAGGGGAAGATTAAACTGGAATAAGATTGTGCAGGAGAGAGAGAAAGAAGCAAACAACAGGAGGAATAGGACAATATAATTAAATGGAAGGTACCCCCAGGATTAACATTTCAAAGAATTTTAAAGAAAGGATTTAAAGCAGCGAAGAGAAAGAGAGAAAAAAAAGGTGTGAATTGTTTTTGACAGTGGTGGGGCTTTGAACCGAGAAAGGTAGAAGCTGGAAGAAGGAATCATCTAATCAATTTGGATAAGTATATTCTGATTCTATATAGGCACTAATAAAGCTGAACTATAAATTGTTAAAGAAAAAAATTAATACCAATTGGATTTGATCTTTTTGTTTGGAAGACTGTGGTTGAAAAAGCTCTGAATAATTGGAAAAAGAAAAAGAAAAGAGGGGGTAAAGATCTGTTATAACAAAGAGTGCCATCTAAGTTAAATCTAACTTGTTTTTCTTTTAAACAACTCTGTTTCTTAAAAACTGTAAGGAAAATTGATACAATAAAACAAGAACTTTGAAAAATTGAAACATTGAAACAAAGAAAGAAACAGAAAGATTCTGCCCTTGGATTAATTGTTGATTCTGACATGGATTTGGCATTGGATTAGATGAGGACTAAAACTTGAGAGGAAGAAAATAAAAGCTGACTGTAGGAAATTAAATTAAATGTATTTATTTATTTATATTTGTCAATTGCTTACAAGATAATAGGTATAAGTAAAAACATAGTTATGAATACATGGATAAATATAAGAAAAATAAAAAATATATAAAAGAAACAATAGGACAGGGACGGTAGGCACATTGGTGCGCTTATGTACGCCCCCTACAGATCTCTTAGGAAAGGGGTGAGGTCAATAGTAGACAGTCTAAGGTTAAAGTGTTTGGGGTTTGGGGAAAAAAACACAGAGTCAGGTAGAGTATTCCAGACATTGACCACTCTGTTGCTGAAGTCATATTTCCTGAAATCAAGTTTGGTGCGATTAACCTTGAGTTTGTATCTTTTGTTTGCTCTTGTGTTGTTATGGCTGAAGCTGAAGTATTCATTGACAGGTAGAACATTGCAATGTATGATTTTATATACTATACTTAGATCGGACCGAAGGCAGTGTAGTTCTAGGTTTTCTAGGTCTAGAATTTCGAGCCTGGTGGCATAAGGTATTCTGCAACAAGTAGAGAAGTGGAGAACTCTTCTTGTGAAATATTTCTGGACTTTCTCAACTGTGTTAATATTAGATACGTAATGTGGGTTTCAGACTGATGAGCTGTATTCGAGTATTGGTCTAGCAAATGTTTTGTATGCTCTAGTTAGTAGCGTAATATTGCCAGAGAAAAAGCTATGTAAGATTAGGTTAACAACTCTTAACACCTTTTTGACTATGTAGTTACAGTGGGCTCTAGCACTTAGGTCATTAGAGATGAGTACTCCAAGATCCTTGACAGAGTTTGGATCATCAACAAGGTCTTGACTATTCAGCCTGTATTTTATTTTCTGATAATTTTTTTGCCAATATGTAGGACAGAGCATTTATTTGTTGAGATTTGAAGTTGCCATTTGTTTGACCATTCTGATACATAGTCAAGGTCTTTTTGAAGGGTAGCAGTACTGTCAGTGGTGTTGAATAGCTTTATATCATCAGCAAAGAGAATGCAGTTGCTCTTGATATGATCACAGAGGTCATTTAAGTATGAAAAGAGTTGGTCCTTCAAAGACACTATTTGGATTAAATTGCTAATTAGAAAGTTGTAAAATGGTGATATCTCTTCTGGAATTAAAAATGGAACTTAGAAGCATGAAAGAAATATTAAAAGAGTGAGGTGAATCGCTGGGCTTTGCTTTAAAATTTATGGAAAATGCAATTGCAGAATATGAACAAGAAAGACAAAAGACAGAAGAGGAGGTGGAACAAATCATAGAAGCGGCCATCATCAAGAACAAAAAACTCTGGAAAGAGTTGGAAATAAATATAGGAGATTTAAGAAGTTAAATAAAGAGGGGAATATCCAGAAAATTAAAAAAGGGAAAAAGAATCAGCAGAAATTCGAAGGGTGGAAGGAAGCTATAAATAGAGAGGGGGATAAAAACTGGAGTGAAAGAATAAAGGGGAAAATACAAGCGGAAAGAAGGGATAAGAAACAGGACTTAGGAACAAAGAAATATGGGAATTGTAAAAAAAAATGGGAAAAAATTGTTTAATTAGACATAGAGATAATGGGTGATTAATATTTAGAGAGGGGATTCTGCAAGGTCTTTGGGGGTAACATAAATAAACTTATAGTTAAGAAATACGGACATATAGATTGATAAGATGGAAAACAAAACTGTTATTTCTCGATAATGGAATCTAATGCTCTTTTCCTTCATGTATAGAGATAATTGTAACAAATAATGGAATATGTTTATTAAATATATTGAAATATTTCTAGGACTAGAATGCAGGCTTTTTTGTCTAAATATGAATGGAATAATTAATGGAATACATGTATTAAATATATGGAAATAAATGAAATGATATAGGAGGAGAGCTGAAATGGAATTAACATCAGGATTTAGGATTAAATGAGTAGATTAATATACATTAATATTATGTATAAAAGCATTGTTAAGATAAGAAATTGAATACAAAAATTGAACATGTAACTATGGTCATAATTGTATGTATATGTGAAATCTGAAATCGTGCTGTTCACTAAAAAGAGATGTTAAAATGTGGAAAACCGAATAAAACTTGTTTTTTAAAAAATAGTGGACATGGAAGTATCTTCGAAATTATCTCTATTTCAGTAATGAAAACTTTTGGAATAGTTTGACTTCATTCTTAAACATATTGTTAGAAAAATATTAATTGCATAGAATTATTAGAACTTTCATCTCTAATTTCAGCAATGCTAGAAGTTTAGCTGATCTTTCTTTTTTTAATCTTCCAAAATCACTAATATTGGATTCAGATGAAATGAACATGGTCCATTAATTTTATTAAATTCCTATCAGGCTTTCAACTCGCCAAGAAAAACCTGCTACTCGTCACATGAATTAAAGTTTAGAAATTATGGTGAAAACTCTCTTTGGTCAACTAAATTAACTAAATCTTATTTCAGCTCACAAAATGGGCATTCCATATCGGTTAACTGAAGGGAAAGAAGATTTTCAGGAATTTCAACTATCTTTTGTAATCCTCCCAAAAAACTGTTCTAGAAGCTTGAGAATTCCCGGGAGCATATGGGAGGGACTGCAGAGAGTAGGAAAAATTGGCGAAAATGGTTTTTCCACCTTCTTTTAGTAAATTTAAATGAAATGATCTTCCATTGATGGAATATTACTTTTTCAATTTGGAGTTTATACTGTGACATTCCCATTAAATTTTAAAAATACCCACTGTTTCTTTTAAAAACTTCAAATATGTCTGGTTTTAAATAAGTTGACATTCAAACCTGGGGAAAAAAATCCTCATCTCTGAGGAAACGGAACAGCAATACGCTGTTTTCTTCACACATGCTAAAGAATATTAATTTCACAAGTATTTGTGGTACCTATGTTTAAGGTTTAAAAAATGCAGATTGTTGATATTTAGTCACTGGGTATATTTTTAGTTCTGCTGTAAATATGAATTATTCAATTTTTGTTCGGCTATCATTTGTTGTTATATTTCAGATTATTTCTTTGTTTATATCTTGGAAAGCCTAACAGTTAAATGGCAAGATTAAAATTATTTTAAATAAATACCTAAACCATTTAAAAAATAAAATTTAGGGGAACAATTAGTGTTAAAGCTATAATCCACAAAATATTTTCTGCTAAAGAATCCAGTGATTCACAAGCCATTTGTCTTAAACACAGGAAATATGTTTTACAATGAGTAACGTCTTGAGTAAATGGTGGTAGAAGGCTGATGTGATTCGGAGAACACAACTTACTTTATTTTGCCTGAATTTTATAGACTACTTTCAAAGTGTTTGAAGATGAAAGAACAAGTATTACCTTCATTAGCTCCTGTAGTTTTGGGTCACTTCTTGAATTGGGATCAATCATTGTTCGAACTTCATTTTCCTCTTTGAAAAAAAAATGGAGAGAAATGAAGAAGGAAGATTCCTCATGATAAAAGAAAAGGCATACTTATGACCAGTTTAAATTTTAAAAAGTATTTCAAATTACCTAACATAGTATCTTCAGGATCTAATTCAAAAGGAATTGGACTGAGTGGTAAATTTATGGCATTTATTCCTTCTTCCTGTAGTTCAGATACTGAAAGGAAAGAAAAAAAGGTTAGTGAAATTAAAAAAAAAATTCCTTGATGTTACAATGCCTTTTAGTAGCAATAAGGAGTGCACTTTATGTTCTTATCCAATGTTGAGAGATAATTGTAAAATGAAGTGAGCAGGAAACAAAATGCAAAACTGACAGATAACAGTAAAAAGCAAAAATTATGGGTCATTGAGGACCTGACATGACTGCAACTTTCTGTTAGTTTCCAACAAGCAATGTTAATGGGTCTGGGAGTTCTAAGTCCTAGGCAACCTGCAAGCAGGCCAGAGGATTTGTGGATAATGGCCACTCACAAAACAGTTCCAGTACAATAATTATGCAAAGAATGTATGCACCCATTAAATCAGGGATGTCAAACTCAAGGCCCGCAGGCCAGATCCGGCCCACGGGGTACTTAGATCTAATATGTGGGGCCACCCTGGAAACAGCGAAGGACCAGCCCATGGGGCCTCTGCCAGCAAAAACAGAGAGCTCTGTTTTTGCTGGCAGAGGGTTACAGGAGGCCAGTGCAGCCGAAAATGGAGCTTGGGAGCCCGTTTTCACTGGCAAAGCACGTGGGCCGCCAAGGCGCCCCTCACACAAGTGATGTCAAACCAGCCATGCCCCTTTCTATGCCCACCCTGGCCCCCCAAGGTCAAACACAACCCCGATGGGCCCTTAATGAAATCGAATTTGACACCCCTGCATTAAATCATTCAAAAGAATGTGTTCTATATTTTTAAAAACTGAAACTGCACCATAACATTCCCTCCTCAACCCACATACACTCATGTGGCATCACAGCAACTTCTCCCTAGCCTGAACCCACTCTCCACAACACCCCTCTGCCTTACTCGGTAGTATCCGCAAGTCCTCTGGCCTGCTTGCAAGTTTCCCAGGACTTACAACTTCCAGCCCTACTGACATTGCTTGTTGGAAGCCAAGCAGAAGGTTGCAGTCGTGCCAAGCCCTCAACGACCCATGATTTTTGCTTAACAACGGCAACAGGGAGTAGGATTGCAAGCAGGCCAGAGTTGCTAAGCAACCTGGTCACGTGATATCTCATTTTATCATCATTTAGCTGCAACATTTAGCAATTCAGGTCCCAATTACCCTTGTTAAGTGAGGACTACCTTAGATGTTGCACATCTAGGAGGTTTGTTCCGATTTACTTCAGAATTACTGCAGAAAGAGTGCCAACTCTTATGTATGTGTAGACTTCTGCTAGGTAGATACTAGGGGATGGGGCCCAGGAAAGATATGCAATGTTTTGGAGGAATACCAATTCTCTTGCTCCCTTGTATCTGTGGAACTCTTCATATTTATGGAATTAAATCTATAGCTAACAATATTCAGCAGTAAAACTATCCCCTATTTGAAGAACCTGACACAAAAATCGACAATGAAGAATTCATTCCTGCCCATCACTAATCTAGAAGCAGCTTTCTTTTCCAAAATAAAAGTATATAAATAAATTCTGCCCTTTAAAGTCCCTAGAAACTGATGAGTCTATCAGAAGGCATAAATAGCAGTGCCTGCAAGGTTTAAATTAGCTTAATTTCTTTAGTATATGCAGGCATGTCCTCCATGTTGTGCTTTATTAGACTTTTTCATGTCTTTTGTTACTATTTATATATCCATTCATTAGTGATTTCAAACATTCCATCTTGAAGGCTTCTTACTATTTTATTTCAGATTATAGGGAATGAAAAAGGAGAAGCTGCTACTAATGGTTAACCACACATTGTGCTGCTCAACAATTACAGTCATCATTTTTTTAAAGGCTGGGAAAGTGGGGAAAAAACTCTTTGTTTGCTTTGGCAAGCAATTCCTGATCTTTCCTAACTAACAAAAAGAGACGAAAAAGGAAGCCACATATATTTTCCTAATTCTGTCAACATAATCCTTATTGTTTAGGCCTTGAGTACAACAGGTTTGCTATTTGCTTAGCACAATTCTGTACCAATGTAGTTTTGGTTTCCAGGTGCTTCAAAGAGGAATTAATGTACTCTAATTAGTACCTAAGGCAGGATTTGTCAAAAACACACCTGACCTAACCTATACAACAGCATGTAATCCAGAAGCATCCCATAGATGCACATTGTGTTTTTAGGAACTGTGTAACCCCATTCAACATCAGTGCCATTCTATTACTCAAATAATATAATTTCCAATCCAAAGACACATCCATTTCCCAATAGAAAGTTTGTTCTCCCTCATCCAAGAACTGAATATATATGACAATTTATGAGTTCCATAGCTTCCAAAGCTAAGAATTAGTGGAAAATAAAGGTAGTGTTGTCGTAATTTGCAAACTGTTGATAACGAGATTCATTATACAAATGGCTTATTTCAGTGGTTTACATTACTCCATGTGTGCCCATAAACACATCCTCTGAGGATTATCAGCCTGCAGAGTGGAAGAGAATCACCCCATATTACTTAGATAGACCAGACTCATAATGTGCCTCATAACCCAAGACAGAAAGCTGTGATAAGGGAACATCATGTTCAATACTATCAAACACCACTAAAAAAAACCCAACTTATGATTATTCTAGCCCCATTTATTGATAGGATATACAAGTCTCCTTTCATCTTCAAAGCAGGACATACAGTAATCTAGATTGGAGAGAACTAGGTAAAATGATTTACTCCAAAATTATAAAGAGTTGAGACATTTCCTTTTTCTAGCTCATAAAGATAGTTATGAATAAATGATAGGCATTTCTAAAAATTACTGTAAGGATTGGGTATTGGTATTTTATGCACGTTACAATTATTTACTGATTTGGATGCATTTACCTGCCATGGTTCAAAGCATCTATAGAAGACAATATAGCTGCTGTTTTAATATTGACCTATACTGATTAGGGTGCCTGAACATGAATATGAGTAATACTGTCTAAAAGTGGCATTGCCAATTGGTTACAGTCAAACTAAGTGTATAAAGTCACAAAGTACACAGACTAACTGAACATTGATCAGAAGTAACTCTGGGAAAGAAATGGTATCTACACTGCTTAGTTACAGGCATTTATACCCGGGGGGTGGGATTCAATTTTTTTAACAACTGGTTCTGTGGGCATGGCTTAGTTGGTGGGCATGGCTTGGTGGTCATATGACTTGGTGGACGTGGCTTGGTGGTCATGCTGTTGGCTGGGCATGGCCAACTCAACATCACTCACATGAGGCATCTCCTCGCCTGGCCTCTCATGACTGTGGGGATGCTGCAACAGTCGTAAGTGTGAAAAATGGTCATAAGTCACTTTTTTCAGTGCCATTGTAACTTTGAATGGTCACTCCACATAAGCAAAGTACCAGCAAAGGAGGGGGAAAAAAACTCCAGAGAATTTTCAGAGACAGGAAGTCTAGTCCTGCCAAGAATGTAATAAGGGTTAACGGAGAGGCAGCTTCTGTAAGCAACACCAGAATGTTTCCTTCCTGCCTTCCTTACAGGATTAGGCCAGTAATTTCTTCTAACAACCAGTTCTCCAAACTGCTTAGAATGTTAACAACCGGTTCCAGCGAATCAGTGTGAACTGGTAGAATCCCGCCCGTTTATACCTCCCTCTCTTTCTCTCCCTCCCTCCCTCCCTATCTCTCTCCCTCCCTCTCCCTGCTGTGTAAAATACCACCTCTTTTCCTATCCAATTTTCAGAAACAATTGTGCATGCAAAGGCAGAATTTGATTTCATATAGGTGGAACACCATGCAGTTTTGTTTTTCAATCAAGCTTATCAAATTGGGGAAGTTAATATAGAGCACACCTTTCATTTTTATTGATTCTATTACATTTTTAGAAAATGTAAGCAATTTAATGTTTAAATTTGAAAAAGCCCATAATCCACATCAAAACAAAGTAGCAATGAAGGTAAGTAGAAAAATACTAAGAAAATACTACATATTTAGTTTGCATGAATACTTGTATGTACACATTAGATTTCATTTTGTTTGTTGTACATAATGTGTAATTTTAAAATATAAAATGCTGACATATGCACACAATATAAAAATTGTTTTGAGCTTAGCAACAAAATACTGATAATTAAATGTGTAAATGTATTATTGGGATCAAAATAATTATTTCACAATCCCCATAGAAATATATTTACAATTACAGAGATGACTGTTTATGAGGTGTTCATTCAAAACAGTGTCTTCAGAATGTAAACCATATACTGTTAAGCAATAAATGTTTATTCATTCTTAAAAGACTTGATAAAGGAGGGAAGAAGAGATGTGTTTACAACTGAAAATATTTTTCAGAAAACCATCTGTAGCAGAACTGAGGACCACATCCATTAAATGCTGACTCCAAGCCAATCACTTCTGAAAGTGAATACAGTATGCAAACAATATGCATCAATCTGATGATGATGCATTACTACTTATTCTCAGAAATGCCCATTTTCCATGGTTGCATAATTTCTCTTTTAAATAAAACATAACTAATAAGTAGTCAGAAAAACAACCGCACAGAATTGTTTGGAATATAATGCAAATTAAGGACCTAGCACCTTGAATTTTTCTCAACTGCTCATTATTTTACTCCATATCTTTGTTTTCTTCTACTTTTGATTATATGGAGCCAATCAATGTTACAAAGATATTGATTGAAAGAAAGAGTAACATAAAATGCCTACTATGTAATTTTTCTTTTGGCAAAGACAGTTAATTTTGTTCTCATTATAACTTTGATACTATTGTAATATTTTACTTTTATACTTGTATTTTCACCTGAAAAGAGAAAAACAAAATATGATTTATGTATAGCAACCCTCGTTTCCCAAGTTGTGTTATCATATTTATTATATTTCTGTATTGCTGGACTCAAAAACAACTCCAAGTAGTTCACAACATAAAACGAAACATGGATGATTCTTGTATGATTCACAATAAAGTACTGATCCAGAGGCTTGAAGTGGGCAGTTTTTGACATCTCAAACTCTTAAAAAGTCCTTGCTGTAAAGATGACCTAAGACAGCATGTTGCTATGA